AAAATTATTTAATTTAATCTGATTTTTTTATTTTTATAATTATAGATGCTTGCTGAAACCTTCTTAAAATAATTTTGTCATACCCTTTTCTATGTTTTTAATATAGTTTCAACAGTTTTAGCTTTCGTTATATCGAATGGATTTCATCGTATTCCTTATTATGATTTTAATATAGTTTCGTCTAAGTTTCAACTGTTATTAAGGGTTTCATCTCTCATCTATATCTATAATAGAAAAAAATGATTTAATAATAAAGTATAGATTTTTTTTTATATTTTTAGATGATCTTTGAAGAACTTTTATAAGTAAAATAGATTATATTTTTATTATTTTTTTTTTTCAAAAATAGTGATATTATGATAATGAATATTTAGAATGATTTAAAGGATTTTAAAAGGAAAATAAATTATATTTTATTATTATATTATTATTTTACATGGTTTTTTCTTTTTTTATTTATATTTTTTCATAAAAAAATTAATAATTAGATTTTAATAATATTTTTATTATGTTTTTGTGAATTTATATAGATTTTTATTTAATAAAATTTTAATATTTAATAAATTTAATAAATAAAATATATCACTTTATATACTTATTTGACTGAATTAATGCTGAATTTAGGCCAATTTTAGATTAATTTATAGTTATTTGAGTTTTAAATTAATGCTGAATTGCTTGTCTAATTGGTATTGATTAGTGGTATTTTAGATTAATTAATGATTGAATTTAAGTTTTAAATTGATGCTAAATAGCTATGTTCAATTGAAGTTGATTGGCAGTAATTTAAACATTCAGAAAATAATTAAAAAATATGGCAATTCAGTCATAAGTAATATTAAAATCAGCCTAAAATTGGCTAATTGATTTCTAGCTAATTTAAACTATTTTAACAAGTAATTATTATTATTATTATCTAATTTCCAATAATTATATTTATTTTCAAAAGTTATGTAAATTATATAATATTCAATTAAATTAATTACAATTAATATTTTTTATAATTTATTTTTAAACAATTAAATTTATTTTTAAGTCTATTAAAAGTATTTCTATTATTATTATAAAATAAAGAATAGGTAATATAATTGTATTTATAAATTATTTTTCAGGATTATTAAAAGATTTAATAAGAAATTAGATATAAAAATGCTAAGTCTTTAAGTAAATAATTACATACTTTTATAAGTATAGAAATATTTTAATAAAAAAAGAATTTTGATAAACTTTTACATTATAAACTGATCCTGGTTATCATATTTTATAATAAATAAAAATGTTATAATAATCAATACCTTAATATTGAATTGATTATTTTTTTTACAATTTTAGGTTGTTTTAATAGAACAGTTCCTAATATTATATGGGTACCATCATAGTACCAATAATATTGTTATATTTTAAATCCTAAATGAATTTTCTTTCTTAATTCTCCTGTTACCATATAATTAATTAATTTTTTTAATAAAAAAATAACTTCATAGCTTTACCAAAATGAGAGCATATAATAAAATGTTATTCTTTGAACCTATTCTCTTTTAAAAAAAATAGTTAATTGTAGCTTGTTATTTGTTATTAATTGAATGAAAATTGAATGTATTTCAATTTTGATTGTTAGATTTTGAAAACTTTGAGGATCAATTCTCATAATTTTTTAAATGTAACATCATATTTAGAAAAATTAATACTATTACTCTTGAAATTTAGCAATACTATAGTTCTAAATGACGAGAATCTAATAAAGAACTTAATCCAAGAAGAATTATTTTATCTTCTTCAGCTTCTAATTGTTGTTCTTCAAAATCATTTGATTCATTGTCAGAATCCTCAAAAACCTGACTAGATTTAATAAAAAACGTTGTTAATAAATTTTCTGTATGCCATTATTAAACAATTTATTGGATGGACAAACTTGTTTAATGGATTTTGCGATTAAAAATCTGAACGATCTGAAACGAATTAATAAAAAAATATTATATAAATCGTAACAATGTACTTTTTTAGAAATAATCAGTTGGAAGTAAAAAGTAAAGATACAATAGAAATATATAAAATCAATAAACCAAGAATGACAAGATTATAAGCAATAAAGTTTTAATACTGTATTATAAGCTTTTATTTTGATTAAAATTTAAAAGATGATACAGCTGAGTGATGTGGATAATAACTTCAAATTTATATACTAGTGTTATATTCAGTTCTTTCATTTATGTATTTATAAACAATTTGTAATATAAGCAGAAGGTATTAATTAAGTAATTATTAAATAAAAATGAAGTAATTGTGACAGGAATTTATTTAATTATATCAAATTGATCAGTGTTACCTCAACGTCGGCGCTCTACACTTTCGCTATATCAATATTTAAACTCTATAAATGCCAAATACTAAATTCTAATTAAAACTGCGCAATTACGAAACTGTTACATAAAATTATATAAAAATTACTAATAAAATCGGGAATTAAAAATAAAATAATAAAAAGGTGTTACAAAATGCGAAATTATAATATTAAAAAGGCGAAAATTAAAAATATCATGAAGGTGTAAAGATAGTGAAGGGAATGTTTTCAAAGAAATATGCCAAAGACGAGCATGGAATATTGAGCTGTTTTAGTATTTCCGGCTCGTATTTATAAAAGATCTTTAATTAAGCCAAACTGGCGTCTTGACAAACTGGCACCTTGACAAACTGGCATCTTGACAAACTGGCACCGTGACAAACTGGCAAATGATCGTCAAAGGGACTAACTGCAATTATCAAGAGCGATCTTCGAGCGAAATTATGAAGATTTCGGCCGGAATATGCATTTATCGTAATCGTAACACTAGCTTCAATAACTTTTCTAGAAATTTCCGTATCAGAAATTTTAAATTCAGAAAATTAATTTCAGTTACAAAATATGGGGTGTTATAAAGACTTTGTTTTTTATATTCAATTACAATTTCGTCACACACTTACAAACCGGAAAACTACTTAATTTATAAAAAAAAACTAAATTTTTAATACGATTATAGTATTTGGAGTTTGCTATTGAAATCACGTTATGAATCATCAGATTTACTAAATATCAAATGGAAGTTATAAAAAATTTTCCAAGTCAAGTCCTTCATTTGTGTCTTTTATTAATTCTTCATGCAATCTTTCATCAGTAATGTTTTGTCTCTTATCTGTTGTCAAAAATATATCGTTAAAAAATAAAGTATTATTTTATAAATTTTTTGACAACGCACACATTTACCATTTGGATTTTCTGATTCATTTTTCAAGACAAATTGAACATTGTCGTTTTGATTCGTTTCTTTATGAAATCCATTTTCGTCGTCGCTATCTGTAATAGAAAATGCATTATTATTTTCTGTAGCAATTTGATTAAGTTCTGAAAGAACTTTTTGAATATTAGGTCTTTTATATTGTTCAAGTTTCCAACATTCTATTCAAATAAATAAATAAAGGATATTTTATATGAATATTTGATTTAATAAATCAAAGCTTAACATTAATTATTATACTTACCTTGATAAAGTTTAACAAATTTATAATTTGTATGTGGAATAGGTTCCTCTCTTTTACCGCAAAAAATTTCTATTTCTATGGTAAAATTATTTTCAGAATCGAAAGGGGGTGAACGACTTGTTAATTCCCAGAATAATACACCCAGACTATATATGTCACACTCTTTTGTTAATTTATAGTTATTATTAAAAAAGTTAGGATCCATATAAGGTACCACACCAGCCAAATGTTTAGTATAATAGACTGATTTTTGTAATCTACGTGAAATTCCAAAATCTGCCAGTTTAATTGTATGTTGATGCACTAATATATTGTTAGAATGCTAAAATATAAAATATAAAATATATAATTATGTTAATTATATCAAATAATAATTATTTGCTAATTAAACTTACAAGATCCCGGTGTATAATTCCATTCTCGTGCAAGTACGAAATTGCACCGGCAATTTCCTTGGCAAATTTTAATTGATCCTTCCATTTAAAGGTGTTAGAATTTTTCTTCAAATATGTACTCAATGTCCCACTTTCTGCATATTCAAGAACAAGTGAATAAATTGTTTCCTTAGCAAATGAATCTAAAAAAAAAGATAGAAACGATAGTTCGTTACATAATTTTTATACAACAAAAAGAATAAACAAATCATTAATTTAAATTAAATATTACCTTCGGTTTTTGTAACTCCGCAAAGTCTAATAATATTAGGATGACGGACATTTTTCATTATATCAATCTAAATAAATAAATTATAAATAAAAATTTAAAAACTGAGAAAAATTAATGATAAAAAATTTTAACATTACCTCATTAATAATTTCTTTCATGTTTGATAATTCGTGAAATTTTTTAATTGCAAATACTGTACTTTTCCAATTTGCATAATAAACTGCATAATAAACCGAAGCAGCTGCTCCAGAACCAATTTTTTTCACATCATTAAAATTTTCATAATTATATAAAATAATTTCCTTGTTATTAATAGAATTTTCTAACTTTTTCTCTGACGATGATTTGATGTCTGCAAAAAAAAAAAAAAAAAGTTAAAAATGCATTTATTAATGAAATTTAAATAAAATGTTATTACGATTTGAGAATGCTTTGTAAATAAAATACCCATGTCTGGTACGGTTAATTCTATTAAATTATTTACAAAAAAAAAAATATCTAAAAAATGTTTTATATATTTATATTAATATGACTATATGAAGTATTTTGTTAAAAACTTTTGATATACACTTACTTATTATAAGAAATTAAATATTAATTTAAATTAATTTAGAAATTTAAAAACAAGAGTAAAAAGTCGTTACCAAGTATTGATATTTCAGGATCTATAAATACAAATAAAAAATTCATTAAAGAATAATAAATTAAATTAAAGATAAAGACATAATTATTTACCTTCAGTATATCCGTTATTCTTTTCATTATCTAAAAACGAAAGTCAACTTAATAGAATACAAAATTTCTTATTCATTATTATTTTCTTGATTTTTTACCTGCGTTATAAAATGTTAATCTTATTATTTCTCCATATTTATCAGATTCGGCACAATCTCCAATAATACATTTATACCAAAATTTTAATTGCTTGTATAATCCAGATGCCGTGGGCCTTTGGTTCGGATTATCATTTATACATTTATTAACAAAATCCTTATAAATTTCGGGAGTTCCTTTTCCAAATTCTGGCCTTCCCTTGTTATCAAATGAACTTGGTCCAATCGATAATTCAATCATAACGATACCAAAGCTATAGATATCCGAAGCTAAAGAATATGATTCTCCCCTGTTAATTTCAGGGGCAATATACGACAGAACCTTTAAATCATTATTATTTGGCGCGATTCGTTGTTTAGTTGGTTGTGTTAGTTTAAAATTCGTAATATAAATATTTGAGTCATCATCTATCATTATACTTCCACAATGGAAATTATTATGACTATAACCTAACTCGTGCAAGTTCCTGAATTTTTTAGAAGTATCACGTAATATTTCAATTTTTTGTTCCCACCTTTTACATTCATTCTCAAGTAATGTACGCAAAGGTCTTTGATTTCCATAGTGAGTGACCATTATAAATTCTTGAGTTTTCGGATGTTTAGTCATTCCATAAAACTTAGATGAAACAGCAACATCTGTGTTAAAGAATTCCCAATGGTTTTTAATCTATTATTTAAAGATACAATTTTTATTAATATTAAATAAAATTTTCATATATTAATAAAGAGTAAAGAGTACTGATTTTTCTATAAGGAAGTACTCAAACCCGCAGCAAACAGTTAAAATGATGTAATTCGCTAAACTATAAATTTGAATGACCTAAATTAGAAATCAAATAGAAAGCTATACCTCATTTAAACAATCAGTTAATAAATTAAATTGTTTCAAGAAAACCTTTACAGGTTGTAGTTCATTTCTCAAACTTCCATTCTTCTCAAGATAATTATCTCTACCATCCAACCATACGGCCAAATAAACTTTATCAAAGCCATCTTCATATAATTCTATGTCAATAATTCTATCAAATGATATCCACTCAAGCCATCTTCCGCCATTCCTTGCTTTATACATAGTATCTTTGATAAATGTGTCAATACAAACATTTCCACTGGTCCATCCTTCGCTTATTCGATATGGAGAATCACATTCTTTACATCGTTTTTCAATAAGTTCTTCATCGCAATATGAACATTTTCTTTCTTTAAGCATAATATTTTTTTTTAATAAATTTCTAGAAAACGATTCTAGAATTACAATTTAAGAAATTTGTATTCTTTATAATTAGTTTACTTAAACGCCGCATAACCTTATTTGATATTTGATTTAAGACGGAAATACTGTATAAAGGGTGATTTTCTGTAACTCAACATAGATGAGTCGGTTACACTGAATTAAATTATTCATTTTGTAAATGATCGGCGTATGCAGTCGGTTTCAAAAACATTCTCAAATTTATATAAACTATTTTTAGCTTATAACAGAAAATTAACTATATAGAATATAACTGCTTCAACTAGCCTAGGAATTACATTTTAACCTAACGCGCGCGCTATACATTTTTTTTTTTTTTTTTTTTTTTTAATATTTTAGATAAAATATATTCTTAATTTTTTTCTTTGTTATCTTTCTAATTAACAAATAAATAAAAAAAAATAATAATTTTCATCAATATTAGGAATTTCTATTTGTATACTTCATGAAATAAATGACCGAAAACCAGAAAATCGTGATGATTTATAGATGTAATAAGAAAAAATTTGTTTTATTAAACTAACTTATTGCTATAATGCATCATAATATTTTGAAAATCTTGTGATATTGTTAATTTCACACTACAAACTTTATTTGAAAATTTTAGATTCAACTATAATAAAGTGATTTTCTTGTGAATATTTATCTAAATATCGGTAACCACTAACAACCGAAATGAAATTTTTTAATTAATAAAATAACATAACTTTAATGACTAAATAATTGAACTTTATTATAACCAAAGATTTTGACAAATTTCAAATTTTTTAAATGATAAAGACTTAAGTTTTACAATATTTTCAAAATATATGGTGAATAGTTTATTTCATCCAAAAAAAAAATTTCTTATGATACTAGTTTATTACGATTTAAGGTTTCCGGTCATTTATTTCATGGGAGCGTATATGGGCATATGAACAACATGTGAAAGACTATTTATTCATTTTTAAATACTTGGTAAAAACCAAAACTGGTGGTTCATTTCTTCTACACTTGTTATAAATTAAGACGAACTTGGACTCGTGATTGTTTTCAAATTCTACTGTTCAGTGCATTTTTCTCAAAAGATTTTTGATAACTACATTATACACATTGATCTTATTTACTTACGTAGCCTTTTAATTCAATCCTAGATTGAATAGAAGAATCTCATACTCTTTACGAGATCAATAAATCTAAGTATTAAACATAATTTTCTCACACAACATAAATTTCTTAATTTTTCCACACATCTAATGAAAATTTAGCGATTCTAAATTTCTCTGATTTTCTCATTTAAATCTCTGTAGTTTACATCTTTGTAAACGGAAACCACATAATCCTCTTCTGAAAATTGTTACGTTTAAGGCATAAACGCTTCAAAAAGTTGCACTTAATGCTTTTTTATGTGTAACGCTCCTGAAAGCCAAAGTATTTAATACATTCCTTGTTTGTTCATTTCACTTGATACGTCATTATGATCTTAAGAAGTATGTAAATTGGAATATACGGATTCATCCCTGTTTGATATCTCTTTGCGTGTATTGATCTTTATTATTGGTAAGTTGACTTTTTCCCCTTAATTTTGTTTATTTCTGGATCTAAAGGTGACTTTATTTCTTAATATTTTATCATAAGTTATTTGTAGCTTTCCACTTCTTAAATTGAAAATAGCCTTGTTTCCGTGTTAACTATTAGGTCTAATGAAACTTAAAACTATTTGTTATTAAAGTATCTAAGATTTACCGCTAATTGTTAATAAACCAAATGAATCACACAGCTTTATTTATTTTATATGATTTTATAAATTTATTTTTTCTTAGTTTAAATTACATTAGTAGATAGTAATAGCAAATTAAATATAATGATGATAATTTTTTATCATTCTCTTGAAAATATTTTAATTGATTTCACTTTTATAAGTTACGAATTTGAATAGCGTTTAATTGCTGAATAATAACATACCGATTAACTTCAAATTATTGATAATGAGAAAGGCCAGTCAACGAAATGAATCCTCGTATTAAAGTACTAATAACAAATACCTCTGTCTAAATATCCATCGTCTTTGTCATTGCAATCGAATTTATATTCTAATATCATTCGCAAGAAAATAGCTTCAAACAACGACAATAATCTATCAATTAAAATTTCGGTGATAAATAAGTGTCTATAATAATAAAGATAAATTTAACGTGAATCAAAATTCGAAGCGTTTATCTAAAACCTTTATTGTAAATATAAATCAAATTAAGGGAAGCGATTATGGATTATGGAATTATATGAAAAAGCAAAACATAATAAAGAATTGTGTGGTTTCTGTTACAAAGATGTAAGTGTGGTAAGAAATGTGAAACCGAGAATGCGAATTCTTTTCTAAACAAGAAAATTTGACTTGTTTAAATACGGTTCGAAAATAAAAGATCCAATTACGTGTTAGTAAATTGCATATACTTATAAAAACTAGTAAAATCGAAATGATTTTCTGCAGAATTTGATGGATACATGAGAAACTTAAATTTTATTTTTTACTTAAGTAGTTGAATTTGCAAACAATCGATTTATGTAACTAAGTATATGATAGGTTCTAATAAAATTCTCAATGGGATGTATTAAAAAACATAAGCACGTATCATTATAACATTAAACTTGTATTAAACTCACGTTACGAATCATATGATTTTCTAATGTCCCGTGACTCGATTTTAATGTATTTTACAATGAGTTGATTGTTTAGTAATTAGGAAACTATTATTAATTTAAAGTTGACAGGAGGAAAATATTTATGTTGTTTAGCAAAGTCTTTTACTTGCAAAATAAATAATATTGATTGTCAAAGCATTAATCTATAATAATAAAAATTGCGCTTAACCGATCCTCATATAATTTATGAAAGTTTTATCTTTAAAACAGTTTCTGAATGTCATTCAAGCCAAATTATAAATTTGGAATAATTAATTCAATTATTATATAACATAAAAAGAAACTTTAGATAATTTGAAATGTTATAAAATATTGCGGATGTTAAGTGGTTTATTCCAAACCGGTTTAAAACGGTTTATGCATGCTTAGTTTCAAACCGGCTAGTTCCTTGTCGATCAATCAATTATAAACCAGTTTATGACCAAGCTTAAATAAACTCGCATTTAATAGTTTCGTAACTAACTTTTTATCGCGCATCTTTTCTTATTCTTCGCATAACATAATTGCAATATTATCAATTATATAATTATATAAAATGTATTGACACGTAGTAATATTTCTAAATTAGAAAAATAATAGTCTAAACCAGGTTTTAAATCAGGTTTTAACTAGTTTGTTTAAACCGAATCTCAGGTAGTTCGAGACCTGTTTCTACTAGTTTGGAGCATAAACTGACCGTTT